ATGTCCCCGCGCTGGGTCTGGAGGACGCCAGAGCCACGCTGGGTCCTGCTGCTGGCGCCCAACGACCGGTGTGTGCTGCAGCTCCAGAGCCCAGTCCCGGGCCAGGACCTGAGCCCATGGCAGCTGAGCGTCCTGCAAAGCTGCCCAACAGGCCACGGTGCCCAGCTGGTCCCCGCGGGCACCGCCCTGCTGATGTGGGGGTTCAGGGTCCTCTCTTACTCTCCCTGGAACAAAACAGAGGCAGAGGAGGGCGACGCGGCATCTGGGCCAGAGGCCTCCCCCCAAGAGCAGGGTCCTGGCTTCACTGGGACGGGCAGCTGGGGGGCCCGGGAGAGCCTGGGCCCTGAGGGAGCTTCCCTATTTCCAGCCCCTCAGCCCCAGGCCCAAGTGACCACCAGGCTGCCCGAGGCCACCAGAGACTGGGAAGGACAGGCGGCTGCCCCTCCTCCCCAGCCAGGGCAGCTGTTGGCCAGGGACGGGGACGGGGACTTGGGCCTGTGGTGGGAGGATGGGGCGTGGCCCAGGGACTGACCGGTTCTCAGCGGGGAGCAGCACCCATGTCCTGCTGGGGACGCTCGTGGAGTTGGAGTGTGACTGTGGCGCAGGTGTGTTTGTGGCTCGGGGACAAGACCCTTGCCCACCTGCCCTGCCCCGGCCACGGGGGAGCTGTCCTGTGGGAGGTGACCGGTTTCAAATGTTGGCTATTTTATGCAGTTTGACCATTTGGTTCCTGTTTCTTTGTATGTTGTTTTTTCAATAAAACAAGCATTTTGCATCAAAGCCTTGGAGTCATCTCAGGTGGTCCCAGCTGATGGCCTGTGGTCCCTGGTCTGGGTGGAGCCCGTGACCGTTTCAATCCCCCGGGAGGCGGAGAGGCGAGGGCTCTGGTCCGTCGTCGGGTTCAAGGTGGGGGTTGTTTCACGTGGGTTATCACGTCGCGTATAAACAAAAATACAGCCTCAAAGAAGGGCCGTGTTGAACAACAACGAGAGTGCTCCTGGCATAAAACGAACCCACAGGCTGAGCCAGGGGTAGAGGGTGTTCATCCTGTTCATGAGACAGAGGCTCCGCCGGCCCCGGGAGAAGGCAGCGCTGCAGGTCTGGTCACCAGGGTGCGGTGGGCGGGGAAGAAGCTCTTGATTGGCAGCTTCTGCTTGTCAGTGACCCATCTGGAGGCTCCCACAGTCCTCAATTCGGGGGGGGGCGGGGGGGGCGGGGCTCTTACTGCTGAGTGAGGGGTGACAGACCAGCAGGCCCTCTTACTGACTGGCGTCTGCGGGACCCACATCTCGAAGGCAGCCAGTGCTCACTGCGTGGGACCAGGCAGGAGCCCAGAGCTGTTCGAAACTTCAACAAACCTCACCGTTCTGCGCGCACTTAGAGCCTCGGACCCGCCCAGCTCCTCCCAAAGGGGCCCACCTGGCCTCCCCTCCTCCCACCCTCCAGGTTACACATGAGGCCTTTCAAAGGTGAGGTTCATAGGTCCGAGTCAACCCCTTTCTGCAGGCCGCCCAGCCTGGGGGCCCAGGACCCCTGGAGGGGGGGCCACGGGGTCCTCTAGGTGCCCACAAGGGCCGGTCCTGGGAGAAGGCAGTGCTGTGTGCACTTGAAAATCTCGCTCTGCGTTTCAGCCTCCCAGGGGGGCGCTTCGGGGCGTGAAGCGCTCTCCGCTCCGCGGTCTGGTGGCTCCAGCCCCACAGGATCTGCCCGGCAGGCATGCAGGATGCACCTGCCCCTCCCTCCTGTGCCAGTGCCCCTGGGCCTGAGGCTCTGCGGGAGTCGGGACAGGAGGCCAGGAACCAAGCTGTCCTGGAGGGTGGGGAGCCGCCCCGCCCCCGCTCTTGGTGGATGCTGTCCTTGGCCCGGGGTCACCTGTGTGTCCTGATGGGGCCCTGTGGGCTCATGTCCGCCTGGGCCCCTCGGCTGCTGACCTGCGCGGGTTCCTGGAGGCTTCCGAGGGACCTGGGCGTGACCTGGTCGGTGAGGCCGGTCGGCCTGAGTCCCCTGCCCGGTGAGACCCGTCTGAGTGCGCCTGTCCAGAGCTTCGGAGGGGTGACTCCGGCCGTCTCTCGGGTCGGGGTGGTGCCGGAGTCCCAGGGCCGCTGAATGTCATGCATGAAAGGACCAGGCAGTTACGAAAGCAGCAGCACTGGTCACAGTGGCCAAAGGTGGAAGCAGCCCATGTCCACCGAGGGGATGAATGAACACCGGTCCATCCGAAAAGGGACGCGGGTTCCACCTTGGAAAGAAGGCGGCTGAGCCAGGGGGCGGTGCCAAGTGAGGGAGCCAGGCAGGGAGTTCAGAGCCCAGAGTCCAGCACCGAGGTCCTGGAGGGTCAGATGCACAGGGACAGCCAGGAGGGTGTCCCCAGGGCCAGGGGCGGGGCCGGGGGGCTGGTGTTAAAGGGGACAGACTTTCTTTTTGGATGAGAAGGGTTTGGAAATGGATCGTGGCGAAGGTTGCACAACATTGTGAATGTCATTAAGGCCCCTGGGCAGATGCCCAGCCTGGGTCTCAACCCTGTCCAGGTCCAGGGGTGTTGGGGTGGGGTGCAGACACCCCGGGGAGAGGGAGCGGGTCTGGAGGTGACTGCACCCCATCAGCTGCCTGGGGTCCCACCCAGGTGAGAGCTGCTTAGACCCTCGCTACGGCCGCCCCCTGTTGCCCTTGGTCAGAGCCTTGGGCACCTTGCAGTCCTGGCGCCACCCAGCGTGCCCCCACCCC